TATAGTTAATAACTTGATATATCATAATTTTTAATCTATTGATTTTTGCAGATTTATTAATTTTTTTTTAGTTTTATATAATATAAGAAATATTTCATAAGCCTTTGCTATTTTATCTTTAGCCATAAGGATTAGTACTTTTATATGGTTCACAAATCTGTTTTATATTTTTAATAGAGATGATTATTTATCATATTCTCTTATAAGAAATCTGATTCTTAAATCAAATATTAGCTATAACAACTGTATCATCAAAATTTATTAATAGGATTATTAATAGACGAACCTACTATTTGCAATTCCTTTTTTTAAAGTCTTTTTACAGTTCTTAATTTGATTATTACAATTTCAAGTTGGCCTACAGCTTTATTCAATACATTAATGCAATAGCTCTGTTATACATCTATTTTATTGCTACCAAATTGAGTAAAATTTAACTAAATTTTCTTACTTTTTAAGAAAAAAATTGTCTTTAATGTCGAATTTTCATTTAGAATGGCCAATAAAATACTGACCATTTTTCATGAGATTTCTATCTCCATCGCTCTCAATTCATTAATCGTAGGTCCACCCAGATTATTAATTATTGAAGCCAACCGGTTTATATAGTTTAGGTTTCATTATCCAAGCAACCGAAGAGTTGTTCATACGGAGAATACTACTGATTATTAGGTAAACCACGGTTATATAATCTTAAAACTTCGATCATCCATTTTGTTATTATTTCACATATGTCGTCCTTCGCTTCTATTGATTCGCACTTATCGTTTATACCTTCGATATAAATCTTAGGTAAGTTAAAGCGTATTTAGGTTGAAAATAAAGAGTACTAACTTCACTATTATTATATTGTTTCTTTTATTCCATACTTGTATTAATTGTAACTGGGTTGAGTACGAAGAAATGGATTTTATTAAATCGGTCAGACAAATTTATTATAATCAACGTTACGGATTAACTCGATTTTAATTAATTAATTATTTTTTTTTTTTATTGTAAATTTTAAAATGTCAGAAACCAAGATAAAAAATGAAAAATCTATCAAGAAATCTATTAGCGTTATATTTTTATATTTCAAATTCTCAATTGCATATTATTAACTATTTTTGGTAGTCAATAATTCTTCGACTTTTGGCAATGAATTTTCTCACTTTTTAAGTTGTTCAACTCATTGATATAATTTTAAATCTTGATTTTATGAAACTTTATGAAACATATACAGTATTAGCCAGCTGAATTTTATTATGTAACATTGATTATAACAGTACCTTACTTAGATTTATTGAACTGATTAAGGGAAACCATTCTTTAAGTCAATTTGTTGCGTACGAAGATGTGGAAGACATGGTGGAAAAATCCTTGGTCATAATATCCGACTGTTGGAAAAGGCAAGTTCAAAGCGAAGAACAATAAGTCTTTGATTTATCTTTTTGAATTAGAATTTAGGAATAGTTAGAGCTTAACAGAAAATTTGTCACGTATGATCCGAACTTTGTATTTATTTTATGTTTACATCACGCTATAACGTAATAAAAAAAATTCATTCGCTACCAACTATTTTTTTATTACTCAAAAGATTAATAAAGCGCCTAATTTTTAAATCTTGCACTATAATGAATACTTCAAGTACAAATGAAAGATAAAATACTTTATTATTCAATTGATATTATCGTCTGGTACCCTTGAGGTCTCGTTCAATATTGACTTCTGTACGTTTATCAATAAGTATATTTAGCCTTTCGTCCTTGCTTTCCTTGCTGATGTGAATAAAAACTTGCCTTATCTTGCGTCAATTTCAACAAAGGATTTCTCATTTAATTTTTAATTAATTTCCTGATCTTCTCCCATGTTCTATGTCATCACCTAAACGAGACAATTTACCATGATGTCGATAATGTATCTGCAACACGAAAAATAAAATAAATAGTTATTGAGAAAGAGAGTTTTGTGAAAGTTGCAGACGCGTTATATATATAAAAGATGTATAATTTTGAGTCATACGAATATACGATACGTCATACGTTATTACTCATTTTTGTTCAAACCATTTGATCGATTATTAGTGAATAGTAAATAAACTTTGTTTAAACTATTATGATGAACTATAAATGTGACAGACAATAAATATACTGCCGACTAAGAAACACTCATATGACCAAAATTTATTCAATTCTTAAAGAAATAGCATCCTTTTTCTTTATTAATATACTCCGTTAATATCTCTTAATATTAAAAAAATAAAAATTTAATATTATAGTACTTGTTTTATTGCTCTTTAATTCTAATTAACAGTCCTACTAAAAAAAAGTTGAGACTTGTTTTTCAGTTTTCTAATTTCTAAAGTAGTGATATTTAACATTTAAGGTACTGTACAACGTAATTCCAGATGGGTTATATCGTAAAAAAGGATTATAGTTCAAACTTCTTATTCTCGAACAATTTTCCTTTAGAACACTTGTCTATTTTACACATATAAGTTTTTAGTTATAAAAAATTTAAAAATTTAAAACATTTTATTGTAACAAATAACTGTATTTTTATTGGCTGATTTGAAATAACGTGTGATCTCAGATCACCTTTAAAAAAAAAAATTTTTTCTCTAATATTTTTGAAAGTTACGTAAATTTTAAATTAACTTTTGGTCGCGTATTAAATAAGTAGTAACGACGAAAACAAAACGGCAAATATAGGAACGGAAGTAAGAAAAACGGTACTGCCTGAATTTTTACCTATTGTGGAAGGGGTTGATAGAGTTAGCTTTGACATCATTTGGCATTAGACATTTTAGTATTAGTTTTGTTTTTATATAATATTTACCTCCTTCTTCTCCTTTAAGATCTTTATTACCACTACTTTCCAAGTATGGTTTATGATCACCAATGCAATCTGGAACAGTTGTAATATTCAAGTTTGGAACTTTAACAGCCTTATCAATAATGATCATTGCAGCCTCAACACTTTCTGGATAAAGATCATGTTCAAGAACAATGAATCCAGTACTCATTTTAGGGAATTTCTCCATCCAAGTTTCAAAGATATCTGTAACAAAGCTAATTGGCTTAGGAGGAGTGGCGGTAAGAGTCCAATCGTTGCTGTCAAATTCTGGAACCCAAAGGACAGCTGAAAAGATAGTGATAATTGTTAATATGTGGAATTTATTAAGAGGTAGGTAATTTTTAAAAATAAACATACTTTTCAGACCGCAAGCCCTTGCAATAGCACGAACACGATTATCAGTATCACCATATGGTGGGCGCATGTACTTTGGAGTGACACCAGTAACATCTTTAATAATCTAGAAAATACTGTGTTAATCGAGAACATATAAATAGGTAGAACAAATATTTATTTTTTTTTATTGGAGAATAAAAAACCTTGAGAGTCCATTTCAATTCAGCAACGATGACTTCAGTTGGAAGGGAGGTAAGTGCCGGGTGAGACCAAGTGTGTACAGCAATATTATGACCTAAAATTAATCAATTTTAGTTATATACATGTTTGAAGTGAATTAAAAATTTCAGGATTAGATTAGAAAATAATCATACCAGCATCATGAGCGGCTTTGAGGGTTTCATGATTCATTACAATACGACTTCCTACAACAAAAAATGTAGCTTTGAGGTTATGTTCTTTCAGTTTATTTAATAATTTTGGGGTTGATGCTGATGGACCATCATCATATGTTAATCCCCAATTTCCAGTTTTTGGACATGTTTGAACATCATCTTCGGCAGTGAATTTTTGACAAGTCCAAGATCCTTGATCTGGTTTAATTACTGTTGGAGGACCGCATTGAGCCTGTTGGGTGTTAATTTTACCACCATTTGATGCTGGAAGATCTGGAACTTTACTTAAATCTAATTCTTTTAACCATGCTTGAACTTGAGGATCATTAGGATCTGGTGCTTTATCAACAGCTGGATATGTAATATCATTTCCATTGATGTTTACAGTTACACCTGGAGCGGCTGGTGCAGGAGCGTTGGATTGAGGACTCGCATTAACTACATAAATAGTTGTTACAATTGTTGTAATGATAGGAAGTATTCTCATTTTGATTAAGTGTGTTGTAAATAAAAGAAAAAAAAATGAATATATAACTTTAAAGAGTGTTAAAGTATTTGATTTTGTGAAACGAGGAAAGGGTAAAAGAATTTGATAATAGTGACGCTATGGATGTAGTAGTGGATAAGGCCCGAATGAATATGGGTGGGCCTTAAATGGTAGAGGAATGAAAAGGTCGAAGAAAAGAATGAATAACCGTGAACAAGAAAGTAAAAGTTTTGTTTTAAAAAAGAATAAAAAAAATATTAACCATCCGCATAGGTACCTTTTTTATATATTTATAAAATTTCTCTGCTTGTATTACCATCATATAAATGCGCGCGCGTCTGTAATGCGCAGATGCGAATTAACCAATCCATATTTAATTAAGGTTCGTTCGAAGACGCTGTAACGACCCGAATTTACATGTTACACGAAACGTCAGCCAACCAAAAAGCGGATTTCTTTTTTTAGTATATGTCGCATTAATTTTGGTATGTATCTAGTAACCAATCGAAGTATGAAGTTAATTATTCGAAATTAATTAATTTAACAAGACAAATCCGATTTCGATATTTGAACTCAGACTAATGTATTAACGGTTAAAAAGAACATAGTATATCGTCATGGGGGGGATTTTTTTTTAATGAAAATTGTTTGAATTTTTAGAATAGCTTATTGAATAATGTCAATGACGATGTCGATTTTTTTTTTTTCATTGATTATTAATTAAAGTTTCATATTACCTAACTAAGGGTCATGTTTAATAATTAATGTTACAAATAGATGTATCGAGAAAATGAAATCTCAATATTTCACACGTTCACCACTGTTACACTGCCACAAAAACGAAATTATCTATCTAAGATAAGATATCTTTTAAGATACATCTTTCAGATATAAAAGACTATTTATTCCCAATTTATCGATTTTTTATCATAATAATTTAAGTAATAATGCATGAACGAGAGCATTCGGTTGATACCATTCGAAGAAGTAGTCAAATATTTGGTGCCCATGAGAAACTTCAGAAATTGATGGTGGCAAACCGTGGTGTAAGCTTTTTCTTTCTTATTCATTTATACAAAAAAAAAAAACTGTTCAAAGGGTTAATTCAGTAATTCTGAACAATAATATATTAGGAAATTGCCATTCGAGTTTTTCGAACAGCTCATGAAAATTCTCTGAGAACGGTTGCAATTTTTAGCTATGAAGATCGATTATCGATGCATAGATATAAAGCCGATGAAGCCTATCAAATCGGTTCACCGAATATTTATACACCTGTGGGTGCTTATCTAGCTCAAGATGAAATAATTCGTATTGCAAAATTACGCGGTGTATCGATGATACATCCAGGTTATGGATTTCTATCCGAAAACTCTGAATTTGCCAGAAAGGTTGAAGAGGCCGGGATTATATTCGTTGGTCCTACACCTGAAGTTATTGAGAAAATGGGCGATAAAACCAAAGCAAGACAAATTGGTAAGTTTCGTTTGAATCATGTTGTTTAAAAAGATTCACAGATTTGGTGTTGATTAACCTGATCTATTATGAAGCCATGGAGTGCGATATTCCCGTGGTACCAGGTACACCAGGTCCGATTTCCACAATAGCAGAAGCAGAAAATTTTATAGCCGAATATGGGTTTCCGATCATTATTAAAGCTGCGATGGGTGGTGGAGGTCGTGGTATGAGAGTTGTTCGTAATGCAGAATCACTCGTCGACTCTTTTGAACGCGCGAAATCTGAAGCTTTGTCCGCTTTTGGAGACGGCACAGTTTTCTTGGAACGTTTTTTGGATAAGCCAAGGCACATTGAAGTTCAATTATTAGCGGACTGTGCCGGAAATGTTATTCATTTATTTGAACGTGATTGTTCTGTACAACGACGTCACCAAAAGGTAGTTGAAGTCGCCCCGGCAGTCAACCTTGATGTAAGGAACGTTATATATTATTTCATAAATTATTTTGTGACAATATATATATCATAATATTTAGTCATTACCCGAATTCTGTTAGGTAACGATTCGTGATGCTATCCTTAAGGATGCTGTCAAACTCGCCAAGGCTGTGCATTATCGAAATGCAGGTACAGCCGAATTCTTAGTCGATTTGAAGGGTAGACATTACTTCATTGAGATTAATCCTCGAATTCAAGTTGAACATACAATAACGGGTGAATTTCATATATATCTATTTTTTTAATAAATGTTGTGCTTTTTTTTTTTTTTTTTGAATCTAACGTTTATTCGTATAATATAGAGGAAATTACTGGTATCGATATAGTTGCTGCACAAATCAATATTGCCGGCGGAACACTTCTTGCAGACCTCAATTTAACACAAGAACGCATTGTTACACGAGGTTACGCAATTCAATGTCGTATTACCACTGAAGATCCATCTCAAAATTTTCAGCCAGATACGGGAAAAATTGAGGTTTATAGATCTTCTGGTGGAAATGGTATTCGTATGGATGGCGGTTCAGGTTATGCTGGTGCTGTTATAACACCACATTATGATTCATTATTAGTAAAGTGTACATGTTGGGGTGAATCTTATGAAGTTGCAAGACGTAAAATTCTTCGGGCCTTGGTGGAATTTAGGATTCGTGGTGTAAAAACCAACATTCCTTTTCTACAACGCTTGCTCACCCATGATGTTTTTATAAGTGGAGAGGCATGGACAACTTTCATTGATGATACGCCGGATCTATTTAGACTAGTCGGAAGTAAAAATCGTGCCCAAAAAGTACTAAAATACTTGGGGGATATTGTCGTCAACGGAAGTAGTATTAAGGGACAAATTGTAAGAATCGTTTATTCAATATCAATTTCCTTCCTTATTATTTATTTGCAATCTTAAAGATTTTGAGTTCAATATATTTTAGGGTGAGCCTGTTTTTAAGGGAGAAATACTTTTTCCAACTATTCGTTCTTTGGCTGGTCCAGATCCTGTCGATGTACAAATTCCTCCTGGACATGGATGGAGACACATTTTTATTGAGAAAGGACCAGAGGCTTTTGCTAAAGCCGTACGTGAATATAATGGTGTATTGATCATGGATACAACCTGGAGAGATGCGCATCAAAGCTTATTGGCCACTAGAGTTAGGACAATTGGTATGATTATTTATAACTATTCGTCCATCGAAACAATATCTAATTGTTTTACATCAATCTATCAGATCTTTTGAATATTGCTTCTCATACTGCACATGCTCTTGCTAATGCATATTCTTTGGAGATGTGGGGCGGTGCAACTTTTGACGTTGCGTTGAGGTTTTTATATGAAGATCCCTGGGACCGTTTGGTTAGTTTCGTGATTGAATTTTTATTGTTGAATATTATTTTTCGAAAATTGACAATCAGTAAATATATATGAATTTTTTTTAGGATAAATTACGTGCGCTAGTTCCAAACATTCCCTTTCAGATGTTGCTTCGTGGTGCCAACGCTGTCGGTTACACTTCATACCCAGATAATGTTATATATGAATTTTGTCAAAAAGCAAAAGATCATGGGATGGACGTATTTCGTATCTTTGATTCACTTAATTATATCGAAAATATGAAACTAGGCATTGATGCAGTCAAAAAGGCCGGTGGCATAGTTGAAGCGGCCATTTGTTATACCGGCGATGTTACCAATCCCAAGAAGAACAAACATGATTTACAATATTATCTAGATCTTACTGCACAGTTGGTAAATTTGGGAATACATGTATTAGGTATTAAAGATATGGCAGGTTTATTGAAACCCGAAGCAGCAAAACTTCTAATAGGTTCTATCAGACAAAAGTGGCCTGATCTGCCTATACATGTACATACACACGATACCGCCGGTACTGGTGTTGCTAGTATGTTAGCAGCCGCAGCAGCCGGCGCTGACGTTATTGACTTGGCTATTGATAGTATGTCTGGAACAACCTCTCAACCTTCAATGGGTGCAGTAGTGTCTGCGTTAGAACATACTGATCTTGGCACGGGCATTAGGTTAGAGGATGTGCATGCATTGAATGGATATTGGGAACAGGCACGTAAATTATATAGTTGTTTTGAAGCTGGAGTCTTGAGTGCTGATTCGTCAGTTTATGAGCACGAAATGCCTGGAGGTCAATATACAAATCTCATGTTTCAATCAGCACAATTGGGACTTGGAAAGCAATGGAAAGAAATTAAGAAAGCTTATACTGAAGCCAACAAACTATGTGGTGATATAGTTAAAGTAACGCCAAGTTCAAAGGTCGTTGGTGATCTCGCACAATTTTTGGTTTCTAATAAATTAAACTACCAAGATGTAAGTTTTCCTCCATTATGTTTATGTTTACGTCGGTCAATTGACGAAATATGGTTTATTACATATCTAGGTAATTGCAAAAGCAAAAACATTATCATTCCCAACGTCGGTTGTGGAATTTTTCCAAGGATATTTAGGGCAACCATATGGAGGATTTCCTGAACCACTTCGCTCAGATGTGAGTATTACAAATTATTTACTTTTTTGGTTTATTATTCATTTCTGACCTCTTTGCTACAATTAGATTATTCGTGACCTTCCAAGAATAGATGGTCGACCAGGAGCTACAATGAAACCATTAGATTTGCTCGAACTTAAACAAGAATTAGTTGCTAAATATGGAAGATCTATTCGAGATGTGGACGTTGTATCTGCTGCCATATATCCTAAAGTATTTGCGGAATATCGTGAAATCCTTGAGAAATACGGTGACGTATCAGTTATACCCACTCGATATTTCTTATCAAGACCTGAAATTGGCGAAGAATTAAGCATAGAACTTGAAGAGGGTGTTACGCTTATTATTAAATACTTGGCTGTTGGACCTCTAAACACGACCAATGGTAGACGCGAAGTTTTCTTTGAGTTAAATGGTGAAGCACGGGTTGTCGGAGTAGTAGATACAAGTGCAGGTTTGTGAAATATAAAGAACGTTTTGCTGTTAAATTTTAGCTAATTGAATTTTACACCAATTCTATTACCTTTTTTTTGACCTTGGTATTTAGCTGTTGAACATGTACAGCGAGTAAAAGCTGATCCCGGAAACCCTGGAGAAGTTGGTGCACCAATGTCTGGTGTGGTAATTGAAGTGAGAGCACATGGTTGGTTAAAATTTTATTTATTTATTTATTTATTTATTTTCTTTTTAACAAAAAAAATATATATATATATACTTTTATTAATTATAATGATTTATTTCCTCGTTTCTTTTAAACAGAGGGAGCAGAGATTAAAGCTGGTGATCCAATTTGTGTACTTTCGGCAATGAAGATGGAAACAGTAGTTTCATCACCGGTTTCTGGAAAGGTTGAATATGTCGCAGTTAAAGAGAGTGATTCATTAAATGCGGGAGATCTTATTATTAGAATAGTAAAAGAATGAGGTTATATCAGATTTTAATAATTTATAGTTTTTACTTTGTCTATTTGTGTAATTTTATTATGTAACATAAGTATATATCATTCTTAATCTTTGCAATCAACTATAATTCAATAAAATTTTATTGTTCTCGCCCGGTTAAATTATTTATTTTGGGATGATTTTTTTCAACACATTTTTAGTAAATTGAGGTAAAACAAAAGCAGCTTCATGAACTTGAGCATTATAATATCTACATAAATCTTCTTCTTCTTCTTCCGACCATTTCCTTAAAGGTTTTTTCAAATTAATAGAAGGATCATTACTACATAACATGAAACCAATTTGACCTGAAGGATAAGTTGGAATTGTAGTAAAAGCATATTCCACTACGGGGAATAATTTATGACAATAAGTTTGTACTGCTGAGATTAATTCTAAATGAAGCCATTGACATTCGCCTAATAATGAATTAATCAGAGATATAGTTATTGTTATTTTTTTTTTTTGAAGTTAAAATTGGAATACAAAAGAAAGGATTACCCTGTGATGAAATGATTCCACAAGGACGTAACGCATTTTTCATTAATTCATAATATCGTTCCTGAAATAATGATTCGGCAGGACCTAAAATAATAAAAAAAAAAGACCTTATATCCCAACCTTTTTTTTTAAAAAAAAAAGAAAAGAACAAATTGATTTATGACGTTACCAACAGGATCCGAAGCATCAGTAATTATAATATCGAAAGAATCAACTTTATCCTCTAAAAATGGAAATCCATCACCGATATGTATTGTGACTTTTGGATCATCAAATCCAATTGCCATTTTCGGTAAATATTTTTTTGACAAACGAATGACAGACTAACGAAAAAAAAAAAAAAAAATATTAAATAAAAATAATAATGATAATGATAATAATAAATGATTAATGATGAGAAAATTCCTCAAACCCATAATACCTCATCGATTTCACATAAGACGACTTCTTTAACAGATTTATGTTTAACGATTTCACGAAGTACGCCACCATCCCCGCCCCCAATTACAAGTACCTAAAAATCGTTATCGTAATAAGAATCACGTGTATAGTACAATGAAGCCGAAGATCCTTTCTAGCTTACTTTTTCTGGATTTGGATGACTGTTCATTGGAAGATGAGTTATCATCTCTTGATATCTAAATTTTTTTATTTCATTTATCATGCGTGAATTTCGTGCATCTAAGCGTGTTAATTATTAAGATGGAAAGAACTTACGAAAATTCATCACGTTCAGTGCATTGAATTACTCCATCTAACACCAGCACGGTACCGTACGTTTCTGATTTAAAAACCAAGACATCTTGATACAAAGAATTTTCATGACATAAAATTTCTTCAACTTTTAAACACATGGCTGTAGGAATCAAATCAATCAGTGTATAAAAAAAGGTTGTATGAATCGAAAAGAGGGATGAGTTGATTATCTGGATTCAATTCATCAAAATAAAAAAAAAATAACATACCTTGACCGGGCCAAAGCGTGGGTTTCTCACGAAACCAGCCATCTAATAATCATCGATTCAATTAATAAATAAATCACGACTCGAGTTATCTGATTCTTTTTTTTTCATACCTTGAATTTGTGGGTGAGTTAATGTCTCTGGCATGATTTTGAAGTAAAGTAAAAAAAATTTTTTTTTTTCTTTAACAGTATTTATATTAATAATGTAGATCTAGATGATGATCATTTTAATAATTACATTATACATGTATAAATAACTTAAGTAAGATGTAGATATAGATAATCTTTAAAATTCACGTTACTTTACTACGCACATATTCATCTTCGAGAGTTAAAACAAGTATTCGAATTTGACACGATTATGTCAATTTGGTCATATGGAGTAGCATGTTTTAATCATGTAAATCCTACAAGATTACTTATGTAAATGATTTAAAGTAACTCATACAAATGTGGTAATTTTTTTATCTTTCAATATTCAACAGGAATATCTTTTACGGTTCCACAAAAAGGAATAAAAAGGGTTATTTATTTAAGGAGAGGAAAAAAAAAAAGTGGGGAGTAATTTGAGGGGGGTGTGAAAAGTGATCATATGACATTGATGTACCCTGAACATTTGTTACATTTTGTGCATTTTTGTAATTGCATACTTTTTTTTTTTTAAAACTCAAAAAATGCTTGTCATACAACCAAATAATTATTTGTTTCAACCAATTAAATCTAATTCATAAAATGGTATATAAAAACTTAATTAAAAAAAGATTTTTTTTTTTTAAAAAAAAAAAAAACGGTTTTAAGTTAGAAAAGATTCTCCCGGTGCATAATTAATTCCCTTTTGGAGATCCTCGGAATCCTTTTTTTTCCTTTATTTTCTTATTTTCTTATTTTTTTTTTTTTTTATAATTTTTATTGTTTTTTTTAGATGGAACTTTAAATCATATATTATATTTATCAATATATATATATATCTTGGGAGGAAAAAAAAAATTTTTTTTTTGTGCATTATCTTCGAGAAACGTTATTTTTTTTTTTGTACAAATATTGTTCCGAGAAAAGGAATCATGTCACCGATTACACGAAGTAAAACGAGTTCAATCCGTTGGGGACATCCAGATTTTCCAACATTTCAAGATTTAGAAAAAGCATATAAAATAGCATATCCAAGAATTCAACAGGATGCAATGGAATTATTAGAGATGAAGTTAGATGAGCAAGATATTAGAAATTTTTATAATCCAACGTCACCAGAATATTGGTTCATAAACAATACGGAAGCATTGGAAGAAGTGGTTTATTATAAAATGAAAAAGAGATTGATTTTACGTAATAAAGAACAATTGATCGCGGCAGGTGTTGATTTATCGGAATATAGTGACACCGAAAGTGAATTCGGTGGTGAATTCCCATCCAATCTTGAAGGATTTTTTGGGGAAGGTGGCAACTTTAGTGAGGATCAAGTTGAATCAATTTTCTCATCAATCTCGTCAACTTCTACTACTTCATCATCCTATCGTTCATCATCACCATCATCATCATCATCATATTCATCAAGAAGTTCAAGAACTCCCCCAACTTCATTAAGTCCTTTTCGAAGTTCTCAAGAATCAAAATTTAGATTTACATCAACCCTGATGAAAAAGGATGAATCAAACACAACGGCGGTACTTGATGGGTATGATGGTAATAATCTCATTACTAATCGTAGTCGCAACATTCGAGAAGTGGCCATGGTTCATCATTCACATCATCACGGAAGGGCACAATTTGTTAACAATGTATTAAGTTCAATTAATTGTCAATTTCCGATGCATTGGATAACGAATCTAACAACGAAGAACATAGTATTTTATTTATTTTGTTTTTTATGTTCAATCTCGATGATCGGATATTTATTCGGATTCATAACAAATAATTCTCCGGAATATATTTTATCTCAGCGTCAGAAAAACCTAATTAAAGGTAAATTACAGGTTACGGTGAAAGCTCAAGTACAGGAATTTATTGATCAGGAAATTTCTCGGGTATCAAAAGGATTAATGGAGAATACTGATGAAGATAATGATTTCATTGGATTCGTACGCACGCAATTAAGTGAAGTGTTTCAAGAACAGTTGGAAAAATTCATGGACGTTGGATCGGGAGCGGATTTTGCCTTATATACCGGAGGGGCAAGGATAATCCATAAATTAACTTCAAAGAATTATGAATTAAGACCAAATAAGCCCTATCAAAAATTATTGAGGTTAGGTGGATTCGTCAATAATGTCAAGAGTAAAAATCCTGAGATCGTTATTTCACCAAATGTTAACGTGGGGGAATGTTGGTGTTTTAATGGTACAAATGGACAAATCACCATTAAATTATCTAGAAGTATCATATTCACTCATATCATATATCATCACATTAGCAGAGATGTCTCAATTGATCCTATATTATCCGCTCCGAAAGAATTTGAATTATGGGGTTTGCCAACATCCATTTCGAAGACGGGAGACAATGAGAATTCCCTGGAAATATTTAAGAAAGATTATAAAGTTTTCCTTGGAAAATTTCAATATGATATTAACGGTCTACCCAAGCAAAAATTTATTTTACCTGATTCCATTGCCAAATCCCAATCAAATAAACGTATCAGTGCTATCATGATGAAAGTTCTCAACAATCATGAGAACCCTCAATTCACTTGTTTATATCGTCTACAAGTTCACGGCGCTATGCCTCATTAATAATAATTTTAGTTTTGTGTATATAAAACTTTTTAGATAAGTGAATTATTTCATTATTGTTATTATTTATTTATTTTTGTATATTTTATTACATTTTGCAAATTTTCATTTTTTTTTAAAATTGTTCCTCTTCCTTTTTTTTTTTTTGTAAATAAAATCGTTTTTTTTACACGTGACAAGATCAATAATCAATTCCTATTTTAAAAGAAAATGGTTCCCTTTTTTTTTTTTTGACAAATGCAAAAGGCGGTACAACCTTAAAAAAAAAAACCTGTACGAATGTATGAAGAATAACAAATAAAGTTTAGTGTTCATTCTAAGAAGGAAAGGGATTTAAAAGGGTCCCTTTTACACTTTCTTTTGAAAAAAAAAAAAATTGAAAATGCGGTGACACGTTTCACATTATTATATAAATAAGTGAAAAAAATCTAAAAAAAGAATCTTTACACATTTATAAGGTTTTTGCATGAATAAACGTCCTTAACAGAAGAGATGCACATATGTTAAATATGCATTATTACAACATTTACATAACTTCACTCCTTTTACCTACCTTAAAATTGATACGTGTTGTCGATCCTTTTTTGTCTGACCGAACAAGAAAAAATTATCCGCCCACAGACAGGTTTTTTTTTTTTTTTTTTTTTTTTTTTCTTTCGGAAATCCTATTTTTTTTTTTCCTATACTAGTTAACTTTGAAGGAGCAAAAAAATTTTTCTTTTTGAACAAGGAAACAAAAAATTAAATAAAAAATTATAATATATATATATGCATATAAAGCAAGCGCCTCTTTTTTTTTTTTTTTTTTTTTTTTTTTTTGACACGTCCTTTCACAACAGTTTAATTTTTTTTGAATATTAAAATTAAATCAACATATGTTTAAATACTTCATTCATAATCATCAAAACGCACAATCAAATCATTAAAAAATATTTTAAAATTTTTAAATTATTATATCAATCCTGCTTAAAACATAAAATAAGCACTTCTATAACTACTCGTGGAATTAAAACACTTCGAAAGTACATTCTAACAAGTCATAAATTTTTTCACTACTTTTTACATAACTCGGTTCACAATGGTACAAAAAAAAGAAATTAAACCAGAACAAAATATTTATTCACCATATTATTACCCAAATTTCTCTCGTTATAACTATCCTGCAAAAATTGGTGGTGATGAAGAACAATACAATGAACCACAATTTTCCTTTCCCCACTGGGATGACGAAGTACAGGCCTATAAACCACTTCGTCGAAGAAGGGCTTCTTCACCTTTAACTTGCACTACTGAAGATATCGAATATTTTAACAATAAAGCTACCTTAGCTAATGATACAAAGGCAGCAGCACCTTCAGATATTGAAGACGATGAAAGCGAGATAGTTTGTGAAGACATTCAAAAAGATATAGATTTAGCACGTAGGGATCAAAAAACCGATTACGATCAATTTCGAAAGACTTATGCTACATTTCATGATGATATACGTGCTCTACAACGAGAAATTGAAGCAATCGAAGCCGTTTGTATGAAAAATGGGTTGGATTTAAAAAGCGACGGACAGACCATAAATGATGACGGTAGTGAAATTTGTTACAATCCTACGGAATCCGATACTTGCAACTTCACTGGTTCTCTTATGACAACTACAACTTATGAAATACAAGGATGTGGTCGTTTATATTCGGCTACTGCTGCGGCTGCGGCCGCTCGTGGCACAATCCCAAGGAAACGTAGTTCTCCTTCTATATTATACAAGGACAAAGTAGCAAAACAGCAAGAAGAACAGCAAAATAGAGAAAATTTATCGGGAAACTTTAATGATAATAATCGTAGGTGTTTAGGTATAGAGGATGGTTGGACACAAGAAAAAGTTCATCAGAATGAATGGATTCGTTGTTAACATTTTAAATGGGTAGATTTTAGCATTAAACATTAATTAATAATTTGTAGGCGAAAAACATGAACAATAGATTTGTTTTTTTTTTTCGTTAATAATATATATATATTTTTTTTATTAATGATACATTTTTTATATATGTATATTCTTTCCTCATCTTTCCTCTATCTATTCTCTTTGTATATAAAAAAAACATCTCTTTTTTTTTTGGAAGTAAATATAAAATTCTCTTCTTCATATTATCATTTCATTAAACAATTAAAAAATTTTACATTTAAAAGCTTCAATTTATATATATATATAATATATATCATCGTTAATGCTTCATTATATCATTTTATTCTTTTTTATTTTTATTGTGTTTTTATTTTCCTTAATAGTATTTTTTTATTTAGTATTTTGGGGGGTTTTTTTTTTTTTTTTTATTGTAAATAAAAATTGGTGATTTTTCTTTATTACTTTAATTAAAGCAAATATTTGTCTAGTTATATCAATAAAATTAATATTTATAAATTAATATAAATATTACAATAATTATTTATTATTTATTTATATTTGAATTAATATAAAATGCAACTTAAATTTTATAAGTGATAAATTTTGCTTCATAATGATGATTATTATCTAGTATCATTTACTTTATTAAGTATTTTAAAAAAAGAAATTTTATATGTAAAATCATATTTTATATGTTATTAGATTAAAATTATTTTAAGATTTTTTAAAATTAGAAATCATATCATACTAATAATAATTATTATTATTAATAAATATATACTTAAAGTTTAGTTTATTTTTAGAATATTTAAAATATAAGTTTTATTTATATTATTTTTTAAATAATTTTAAATTTTATATAGATTTATTAGTAAAATCAAATTTTAAATTTTTAACAAAATACGAATAATATTAAAATAAATAATTATAAATAACAATTTTAATACTTATTTTAAATTAATTAATATTAATAAATGATAATTAAATTATTTAAGTATTTAAACTTTTATTTTAATGTTATATAATTATTATTTTATTATAATGATTTTAATTATTATTATAATATTGCAAATAGATTATATTATTATTAATAACTTTAAGTATTTACCAATAATAATAATATTATATCTAAAATTCTATCTTATAATAAAGATAACTTTATTTTGAAATATACTAATAATAAATATAAAGAAAATTATCAAATTTATAATAGAAATTAAATGAAATTTTCTTGTATTTTGATGATTTTAATAAAATTTAATTGTAATTTTAAGAATAAAGTTAAGACTTTAGGAATAGTTATTAAAAATATATTTTCTTTTAAGATTTTATTATTTTTAGTTAAAATTATTAATTTCAAAGAAAATAATAATATTAAAAAAAATATTAATCATTAATTTTTAAATTTTTTAAATGAATTGTAAGACTATAATAATAAAGATAATTAAACAAGTTATTTATATTATATTAAGACTACTGTAATATAATATAATTTAATCTGTATAGTATAATATAAAACGTTACATAAGTAATATAGTTAACATAATTGACTTAACAGATATATTTATGTAATGTAGAAGACTACAAATTAATATATCAGACATATTTAATATATCTGTTATATTTGATATATCTAATAAATCTAACATACTTGGCATATCTAACATATTTAGCAAATCTGGCATAACTGACATGTCTAATATATATGATATATTAGATTTATATTAAAAATATATAAATAAACTAAATTTATAATAAAAAATAACTATTAATTATTAGTTATAACTTAATCAGTTTACCTTTAAAATATAAGCGATCTTAATTAACTATACAATTAATTTCTTTTTTTTTTTCATATTTTAATATTTATCTTTTATTTTGTGTAATTTTTTGAGAAACATAATTAATATTTATGTAAACTTATTAAAATATAAATATAATCTAATAGTATATAACAAACTTAACTTATTAAGATATAAATATATTCTGATAGTATATAACAAAACTTAACTTATCAAAGTATGAATATATTTTATTATATATAATAGAACTATTAACTTACTAATCAACTATTAGATTACTATATAACTTTAAGAAATCATCATCTAATAGTTACAATTCAAACTTATTTTAAAGTTCTTAATATTCTGAATTAGATATATTAATTTAACAATTTTCAGACTATAAGTAATTAATAATTTTTTATACTAAATTTTATATTTTAAGACTTTATAAATAATTTTATTTTTTACATAATAATAAGTAAATTTTTATCTTCTTTAGGTAATCAGACTTTGACATCATCAGAAAATTAATTTAAAATTCATCCATGAATACTTTCTTCAAAATTGACTTTAAATCTATTTTAAATCTTTTATAATATATAATTAAAATTTTGCTAACTCTCAAAACTATTTCAACTTCTTATAATTCAATTTTGATGAATATCAGCTTTTTTTGAAATTCTTTTAAGGCTAAATTTAGTTATTTTAAATTGATATTTCTATAACTTTTAGATCACATAATCATTTTATTTTAAAGATTTGTAGTTTAATATTAAATAATTGATTTTGGATACTTGTAAGTAACTCTATTTTTTTATATACTAATATACAGTTTTTTCATTTTCTTTAAATTTTAGATAATGAAATTAGTATTTAGCATTATTAATTTTCAGACATTTTTTTTTACTTCAATTCTAGCTTAAGATTCTTTTATAATGAATTTCAAAATAATTACTTTTAGTTTTTATAAATATTTCTAGATTGAGTGATTAGCTTTTAATAACATTAATTAACACAAATTCTTACCTGACTCTATTAGCCAAAAACTAGAACAAAAAATTATATTTAAAATATTTCTTAACCTTACAATAAAAATAAATAAATATCACAAAAAATAATAATAAACAGTTTACAAATTCTATTTCAGAGTCTAGCGAACAATCTTTATTAGAAAACAATAAAAAAACAATAAAAAATAAAAATTCTTTCTGAAAATATAGATACTTTCTCACTAATAATATCACTCAAATTATAGAAAATATCATCCTAACAAAAAGCGCTAATAATAATGAAAAACTTCCTAATACTTCTAGTAATAATATAATTAAAACTATTAAAATAGATATTGATAATATTGTTCTTTCAACTTCTGACTTATCTAAAACTGTTTAACAAACTTTTTCTTATTCTATAAAGAACTTTATACATGCATATTAACAAAAATAAAAATAATACTGACAAATCAAAACAAGTAAAAATAACTTTTACTTTTAAAGGAAAAAATAAGCAAACTTGATCTGAAAAAAATAGATAAAGTTGAAGCTTCTTTTTCAAGTAATATAAACATAAAAGATCAATATTTCAATATTATTACTGCATTTATATAGTATTATGCAACTGATAATGCAGCTGATATAAAAGGAAAAGTTATTATGAAAAAACATAATTTTATCAATACACTTTTATTTACTTTACTGAATTTAAAAATCAAACTATCTTTTCAAAAATAGAAAATTCATCATTTACTTTAACACTCTAGAAAATTTAATATATGTTATCACAAAAATACAAGAAATATAACATAATCTGATCTTCTTAATTGCAGATCTTAATGTTAAATAATAAAAGATCAATGCTAAAAAGGTCACAAAAATCAAAATATCAGATATTCCCTTTTTTAAATCTAATGTTGTCAGGAATTTCTTTACCAAATTTGATATTATTGCTCATTTTTTGATGATTATTAGAGGATACTAATAAATTGCTTTCATTGTATACAAAAATAGTGAAGCAATCAAATCCTTTTATAATAATTATTGGTCTGTTTTATTTCTTGAATTTGTGCTAAGAGTAGAACTAACTGATTTAAACCTAATGCAAACTACTTTTTACAAATAATTTGAACTTAAACTTACTGGTTTACCTTTCAATATAAATTAAAGATTTTTATAAGATTTCTTAATTAATATTAAAGCTAAATCTTACTTAATTTCACATAATACTCAATATTATTTAAGACTATATGCTTTTATCAATTTTACATCCTTAGAAGATTTGGATAATGCTGCTATATAACAACAAAAATTCAAAGACAATATACTATATTAAATAAATCCAGCTAAGATTCTGAAATATTAATAAATAGGTAGAAAAAAAAAAAATATTTTTTATAATAGTTGTATACAAGAATTTCATATAATATTTATATATAAACTAAACTCTTTATATTAAAAAAATGAATAATTATATATATATTTTTTTTTTTTTGAAGTGCGGCAGTTTTGCATGATCTTTATTAAATTTATAAAATACTAGGTACATATAATAAAACAGAAAATACAAAAATATCTATAAATTAATTTATAAACTAAACTACTTTATCAATACCAACCTTGCACTTTACCGAACTAAACTATAAACAGAGAAAAAAAGAAAAGAAAAACTTAACCAAACTAAACTATTATATAGCTATCAAATGTCCGAAAGGGAGGGCGTGGTTACTGCTATTCTAAAAATTTGACCAGTGTGAGCCATAGGCGGTAGCCGCTAAAAAGGATGTGAGGTTCGATGTGATAGGAGTAGGGGGGAGTATGAAAATCCAGAGGAGATCCAAGGGGTTGTAAAGTCATCTTCAATGTTATTTTCAAATTTCCATTCATTGAGAGCAACATTTCTGTTGTTCCATATCTCGAAACAGGATGTAGAAAAATCATAATAAAGGGATGATAATAAACCATGTGATAGAGCTGATGTAGATACACACACAGTGACTTTATTTGATAATAATAAGGGTATGATGCCTTTGAGTAAGTCAATGATCTAAAAACCAGTTGAATTGGGTACTGAAGTCCAAATAGTATCTGACCATATTTCTTGTATTAGTAAATCATCTGCTAGAATATTCAATTTCTGGAGCTGGATGATAAATGAAATTTTGTGTTTAGCAATAATGTCATATAGGATTGGGTTGTTCTTCGAACATAACCAAAGGTGTTCAAAATC